GGGTACGGGTACGGGTACGGGGCGGGTAAGTACATACCCGTACCCGTACCCGTACCCGATTTAATATATCGGATTTTACCCGTACCCGCACCCGTACCCGATCAAACCGGGTATTCCCCGTCAAAGTCGGGACGGGTTCGGGTATTACCCGCGGGTACGGGTATGTTTGCCATCCCTAGTCCTACCTTCGTGAGCATGAGATGTATCTAGCATAACTTAACTATTTTGATTAGACCCTAGTAGTATGTCCTTCTAGTGAGAGTGCATAGAGGGTGTGACCTGGCATGTACTCCTAGACTACTCTAGTGTGTTTCTAGTGACAATGCACAAGTGTGATATGTGATTTACTGGTGCCACATGCATGATGATATGTAGTCCGCATCCATTTCATATGCATTATAATCTTATCTGTTGTTGCTTACTATGCTATGAATGAGTTAAATATGATGATATGTAATTGTGTATGATATATCTTATTATATGTGTTGTTTATGTTTAGCTAGTCGATTTGTATTCATACACCATGAGACAGAGTGAGATGTTTCTCACCCCCTTTCCTTTTTTGTTATTTTCTTGTAATTTTTTGTAGGTGATCATCATAGGTGTTGGGGATGTTGGTGATGAAGCCTAAACCTCAACGTGATTTTGTTCTGATAGGATACGTGCTATTGGGGATTAGTTAGGACTAACTAGTATTTGATTCATGTTATTTAATTTAAGTAGTTTCATTTTAATTTCTTTTTTAATTTTGTTATTATCGCTAAGTTTAGTTTATGTTAAAGTGTGATTCTTTCTACTATATGAATTTGAGTTCATTTATTATATCGAGGTTATTTACATTATATTATTCATATGTTATGGCATGTGAAGATAGAAGGTGTCACATTAATCATATTTTTCCTAATATATTAATGACATTTATAAAATGATAATTATAGGAAACTAGATATTTAATAAAATAAATATTTAATCATTAATATACAATAAACAAAAATTAGCGATAAAAACTTGATTTAATCACTAGGAATTTGTTTCTCATATATAAGATTTTAGTTGGTGGAGATATTTACTTACTCCAAGAGTAAATCTGTAACGTAGTAAGTGGGTTTCAAAGTTTAGTGGATGTTAGAGAGAGAAGAGTATATAAGGCTTTCTCTAAGAACAGAGCCTCATAAGCTCATTCTGAAAGAAATCTAGAGAAAAGTTTTAGAGAGAAAGACTCTAGGTCCGTGAGCTCTTTTCTCTCCCAAATTTCTCTGTTTGATTCTTCTTCTTCTCTAGATCACTAACTCCTGTCTTTTCTTGGAATTCAGGCTAGGAAGCTTGTTTTCAAAAGATTGAAGTTCGCGAGTCGAGCTTCGGAGGAAAATTCTTCTTCTTCTCAATTCTTGGCTATTTTGAGCCATTTTTTAAGTAAGGGAAGCTAGAATGTAAATTGATTGGTTGCATGTGAGTTTAGGAACTCAAATGGTGCATGAATTTTGAGAATCAATGGTTGAATTGAAGAACTTCTCATTTTTCGGGGTTTTGGAAAAAAATGGAGTTTTTGGTGATTTTGGTGTGTCTGTTAAATGCATGTTGAATCTGAGTTTATTTTTGAATTGTGTGAAGCCTATGTGTTGTGTTTCTGCATGTGGCTAGATTTCTTGATTTTCAGGTTTTGGATGGAATTTTATGGGTTTTGGGGGTTGTTGTATGAATTTGCGCCGGGCGTGAATTCATCAAGGGCAACCATTTCTTGTTCACGCTTGGCGCGATTGTAAATGGGAGTCTCTGAATGAGTTTACACGCGACCGTGAGAAGAACCATGCCAGACACGATATCAGATAGTGATCTTGTCTAGCAGGTTACTCATATGGCGTCGAGCGTAGGGTAGGTGCGACGGGCGTGGAAACCTCTAGAGGTCTTTGTCTAGATGATGTCGGGCGCAAGGTGGGCGCACCAGGTGTGGAGACTCTTGTGAGTCTCTGTTTAAATGACGCCTGACATGGAAGAGCTTAGAGCTCTAGGGTTGGATTTAGGCTGGGCGCGAACTAATTGCGCCTAGCGTGAATATATGCTTAATGATTTTGATTGAAAATGATGCTTTTGCATGTTTGAGGTTGAAGTTGGATCATGTATGTATGATATATGATGTATGGTAATGTATGATTCATATGTATGCTTGGTAATGATATATATGAACGTTTGAATATGATATGACATGTTTATATGTTTATATGAAGATGATATTGATCATGATGGTGGATTGACCATGTATGATGTATGATGCATTATTGCATGTGATGCCTTATGGCATGTGTCTAGCCTAGGACTTGAAGAGAGGGAAAATATTTTCGAACTGAAAGAGCTCACATAAAGTCTCTTGAGAGTAGTGCTTGGATAGGCCACTGATTTATATGAGAGTGGTGCTTAGATAGGCCTTTGATTTTGGGTGAGAGTGGTGCTTGGATAGGCCACTAGTTTGGGTGAGTCTCCTCTAAGTCCTTAGCTAGTGTTGGAGCGGGATATGAGGTCGATGGTTATTTCCTTAACCAAGTACTGAGGAAAGTGCGTGGTTCCTTGCGGATAGTCAGTGGGCGAACTCCACAAGTGACTTGGTAATGAATGTCAAGGTCGTGGTAAGCCTGTACCTAGCTGTGCTATACCTGACAGTGGAACCGGACTTCCAAGTGTGTAAGTGACATTATCCAAGTAAACCCGAGTGAGGATTTATATCCTGATTAGTTGTTACCGAGCGGGCGCATTGGGCATGAAAACGGTTGGGGTGGTTTCAGTAGGATTGGGATGTCACTTATACTGCTCTGCTGTTAGGGAGATCTCCTAGGTGAATGCATGACGACGCATTAGATGATAGATATGCATTGATATCTCTCATGTGTTGCTTAATTGAATGATTGTTATTATGATGAAGCATATGATGTTTGACTTCATGATTTGATGACTTGACGTACCATAGATAATTATTCTTATGCTGGTATGGTTGTTCATTAAACTCTAGCTTACCCTTCTGTATTCATGTGGATGGACTGCGATGATCATAATATGTGGGAGCAGGTCAGGGTTAGGTTGGAGTTGATGTGGCGATTGCTGACGAGATCAAGTGTTTTGTCCTAGTGTCGTAGTTAGTGTTGGAGTGTTTGACTAGGTGTGCTTGACCAACACTAGGGTGATATTATTTTGGGATGATTGTACATATATGGTGTTATATTTTGTAAATAGAAACATGGTAAATATTATTTTTATATATACCTGTATGTATGAGTTATCCAGTTTTAATATCTTTTCTTAGTCCACTGGTATGTAGTGTGATTCCACTGAGTGTAGGGACCACGGCGGGTCATTTCAAAATGTATCTAAATTTATTCCACTTAATAACCCATGTTCTACAATAAATTTAAATAATCCAACCGTTAAACTAAAAGTTCTTAATACATGGATCAAGTATGCAAATTTTTTAAAAAATTTAAAATTTATTTGATAATTCGTTTCATCAATTCAAATTGAAAGAATAATTATAAAAATATTTTATACATTAATTTAAATTAATGTAATAAAATATTAAATAATTTTTCAAATCTTTTACAAATTTATAGACTGTATTTATGCATTAAAAAATTTTAATTTAACAATTAAATTATTTAAATTTAATATAAAATATAAATTATTAAGTGTTATATATATATATATATATATTAAGCCAAGTTAAAAAATAAAACATGGCATTCTAAGTATGTAAAATGAATAAATAAATAAATAAATAAATACATGGCAATCTATTCGTGATGTATCTAGAAGGCGGAGACTGACCGGAGACTACATTGAGACTTGGGGTTGGGGGAGGAGGACTTGGAATAGTCTGGAGACTACATGAATGAGACATGAATAACATTGAAAACTAATAGACTAAGTATATCATATTTGACTATTTCAGAGGCAATAACCTTCAAATTTATAAAACTACAAAAAGCAAATGTGATTTGCAGGGGAAATGGAACACTAAAAAACTAAAATAATGGTTAAATTAAAATAATTTAAATCTAATGTAAAAACACTTGAATATAAAAAAGTAATATAGTAACAATAAAAGTTATTTCAAAAATTCGTTTTTTAGTATGTTTTAATATTTGAAAAAGTAATTTAGAAAAAAATGAAAAAAATCAGTTGAGCCTCAATTCAAGTTTAAGGTATTTATAATAAAAATAATAAATTTTGAGTTTTATCTTCTTTTGTTACAAATTCCAAATATTAAATATAAAAAATATGAATTTAGAAGAAAAAATAATAAAAAAAATTAAAACTCTTTATTTGAATTTTTTGATTATAGTATTTAGTAGGTTTTAATGTTTGAAAAAAAAGCTTTATAAAAATAAAACTAATAAATGGTTGAGATTTAAAATACAGACTTAATTGTATTTTTTTGCTATCTTATATATATAAACTTAATGTTTTTTTTGTAAGGAATCATTTTGACATCTAAATTTAGAAGACTTTGTTATATTAATTACTTACTAAAATATAAAAGTCTCCATATTTTTGTCTAATTTAAATTTAAGTTTATGCATATAATTTTTTTGTGCATGACTGTTATTTATTAAATATTAAATATATTCTTATGGAAGTAGTTTAAATATAAAAGTTAATAAATAAAAATGAAAACAATAAACATTGTTAAGAATTTTGTTTATATTAATTAAACTTAAATCAAAAGTAAACATAGATTTAAATTTAAAATGATAAATAATTGAATAAGAAACAATAAAAGTTTAACTCTGGAAAAGATAAATTAATTTATGTTCATGATAACTAATTTTGCTAACTTGTATTTAGTCTGCTGTCTTAGAATACTTACAACCATAGAATTAGTAACAAATATAAAAATTTATTGATTTCACATGAAAAAATAATTATAGTACTTGTAACTTTTTATTCTCTCGTACAATTTAAATAATTATTAAGATACGAAAAGCAGTCGCGAACTTGTGATTAGTTTCGTGATTGACAATGCAAAATTAATGGTCTCTTTCTTCTTCTTCTTTTTTTTTTTTTATATTTTATATATTTTTATTTTTGTATTTAATCGTTGCCCCATCTTTAATATTTGGGTGAGTTTTGATGACTATAGATGAGGTGATGTATGCTATATATATGGGTATTCGCAGTGGTAATTAAAGTGAGAACAAGTATCATCCAATTGTGTAATATGAATCACTTAGTCCTTGTGATGATAATGAGTATAATGTCAAGGAAGAGTCTGATGCGTTTGAAATTGATAATGTTGATGGTGTGTTTGGTGTGGGTGCAGGTTGTTTGTGGTGAGCATGAAATACAATGCATTCAAAGGGAGAGGGAAGCACTTCTCCAATTCAAGGCTTCTCTTTATGATTCCTTTGGCATGACCTCCTCTTGGACCACTCCTGATTGCTGCCAATGGAAGGGCATTCGCTGCAGCAACCTCACTCGCCATATAATCATGCTCGACCTGCACGCTGACTTTCATGTGGAATATGCTTTCAATTACTATGAAATCTCCAGCTCGGGAAGTTATCTCAGCGGAGAGATCCACGAATCGTTGATGGAGTTGCAACAACTAAACTATTTGAACTTCAGTTTCAATTCTTTTGGCAATACACATATTCCAGAGTTTCTTGGCTCTCTAACCAGCTTGATATCCCTTGACCTATCATCATGTGGTTTTCGTGGAAAAATTCCAACTCACATTGGCTCTCTTTCTCATTTGAAATACTTAAATCTTGCTGGGAATTCTCTGGAGGGTTCATTATTCCCTCTTCAACTTGGAAATCTCTCCCAGTTGCAACATCTTGATCTCAACAGCAATTATTTTGAAGGAAAGATACCATCCCAACTCGGAAATCTCTCCAAGTTGCAGTATCTTGATCTCAGGTACAATTCTTTTGAAGGAAATATACCATCTCAGCTTGGGAACCTTTCAAACTTACAGGAGCTTTATCTTGGAGGATATTACTATGGTGATGGTCCTCTCAAAATTGATGATGGAGCTCCGTGGTTGTCTAATCTCATTTCTTTAACCCATCTTTACTTGTGGTCCATACCTAATCTTAACACTTCTCACAGCTACCTGCAAATGATTGCCAAGCTACCAAAACTAAGACAACTAAGTTTAAGGGATTGTAGCCTTTCCGATCATTTTATCTTTTCATTGAGGTCTTCTACATTCAATTTTTCTACTTCCCTTTTCCTCCTTGATCTATCCTTGAACACCTTCACGTCACCAATGATATTCCAGTGGGTGTCAAACATCACTTCCAACCTTGTTGAGCTTGATCTTAGTGAAAATCTCTTGGAGGTTTCCACATCCAATCATTTTGGCATGGTCAAGATGAATTTGCTTGAGCACCTTCACCTCTCTTATAATAGATTGAAGGGTGAGGTTTTGAAATCCTTCATGAATATATGCACCTTACATTCTTTATACATGAATGGAAACAATTTGACTGAAGACCTTTCATCAATTCTTCATAATTTGTTTGATGGTTGTGTTAGACACTCATTACAAGAATTGGATTTGAGTTTCAATCAAATCATAGGCTCCTTACCTGACTTTTCAGTATTTTCATCTTTAAAAATCTTGGATCTTTCCACAAATCAGTTGAGTGGGAAGATACCTGAAGACAACGAATTGTCATCTCAAATGGAGTCTTTATTCATTAGCTCAAACTCTTTAGAAGGTGGAGTTCCAAAATCATTTGGGAGAGCGTGTACTTTGGGCTCATTGGACCTTTCTAATAATAGTTTAAGTGAAGAGCTATCAGTAATATTTGATCACTTGTCCGGGTGTTCTAGATACTCATTGCAAGCATTAAACTTGGAAATAAATAGAATCAATGGTACGTTGCCTGACCTTTCAATACTCTCATCTTTAAAAATATTGATTCTTTCTGAAAATCATTTAAGTGGAAAAATTCCTGAAAACAACATATTGTCATATCAATTGAAGTTTTTGTCAATTAGCTCAAACTCTTTAGAAGGTGGACTTCCAAAATCATTTGGCAATGCATGTGCTTTATACTCATTGGACATGTCTAACAATAGCTTGGGTGAAGAGTTTACGAAAATAATCCATCACCTATCTGGATGTGCTAGATATTCATTGAAATATTTATATCTAAGCATGAATCAAATCAATGGGACACTACCTGACCTCTCAATATTCTCATCTTTAAAAATATTATATCTTGGTGGAAACAAGTTAAATGGAGACATTCCTAAAGATATTGGATTTCCACCTCGCCTAGAAAGTCTAGATATGCGATCAAATTCCTTAAAAGGTGTGTTCACTGACTACCATTTCACTAATGTATCTATGTTAAACTTCTTGGACTTATCTGAGAACTCATTATTGACCTTGAAGTTCACACAAAATTGGGTTCCACCATTTCAATTGAGCTACATAAGATTGCGATCTTGCATGCTAGGTCCAACATTTCCCAAATGGTTGAAAACGCAAAATGATTTGAATGATCTTGACATTTCAAATGCTGGAATATCAGATTTGGTTCCAATGTGGTTTTGGGATAAAATAGCATTGCAAAAATGGATTTCAATGAATATTTCGTACAACAATCTCTTTGGTATAATTCCAAATTTTCCACTAAAGAATCCTTTTTATTCCCTGATTCTTGGATCAAATCGATTTGTAGGCTCAATACCACCATTTCTACGATATTCCATGTTTCTTGATTTATCAAAAAATAAATTCTCAAATTCTTTTTCATTTTTATGTGCCAATGGTACAGATGAAATCTTATACCAATTAGACCTTTCAAATAATGAATTATTTGAACAAATTCCAGATTGTTGGAGCCATTTCAAATCATTATCTTATTTAGATCTAAGTCACAACAATTTTTCAGGAAAGATTCCTACTTCCATGGGGTCTCTTTTTGATCTTCAAGCATTACTATTGAGAAACAACAACTTAACAAATGAGATCCCTTTCTCTTTAAGGAATTGCAAGAAGCTAGTAATGCTAGATATGGCAAAAAACAAGTTATCAGGCCTTATCCCTGCTTGGATTGGGAGAAAATTACAAGAGTTGCAAATTTTAAGTTTGGGGATGAATCATTTTAATGGAAGTTTACCACCAGAAATTTGTTATCTAAGAAGCATTCAATTGTTGGATCTCTCGTTAAACAACTTATCTGGGAAAATTCCCAGATGCATAAAAAATTTTACTTCAATGGCTCAAAATGCATATTCAAGTTATTATGCCTATCATTGGTATTTTGTCAACATCAGTTATACCTCATTCAAAAGGACATACGATTTGAATGCATTCTTGATGTGGAAAGGTTCAGAACAAATGTTCAAGAATACTGGGTTATCACTTTTAAAAAGCATTGATCTCTCAAGCAATCACTTTTCAGAAGAAATTCCTATTGAAATAGAGAATTTATTTGAATTGATTTCATTGAATTTATCAAATAACCATTTGATCGGAAAAATTCCTTCAAATATTGGAAAGCTAAAATCTCTTGAATTTCTTGATTTGTCAAGAAATCAACTTGCTGGTTCAATTCCTATTAGTCTTGTTCAAATTGATCGACTCTCTGTGTTAAATTTGTCAAATAACCATTTATGTGGGAAAATTCCAACTGGCACACAATTACAAAGTTTCGATGCCTCAAGTTACGAAGATAATCCTGATCTTTGTGGACCACCACTTGAGAAATTGTGTATTAATGAGGAGCCAAAACAAAGACCGGTTGTTAAACTTCATGAGGATGGATTGTTTTTTACTCGTGAGTTTTACATGAGTATGACAATTGGATTTGTTATAAGTTTTTGGGGAGTTTTTGGCTCGATCTTGATCAAACGTTCTTGGCGACATGCTTATTTCAAGTTCTTAAGCAATGTAAAAGACACAATTTACGTCATGGTAGCAGTGAAAGTTTTGAAGTGGCGGCATAGAATATAGCTGGTAATAATACTCTAAACTTCTCCATACATACTTGGTTTTCCTTTATATAATAAATAGTAGTCATAAACCTTGGTTTAGAATCACTTGACGCAAACCTTAGTTTACGGTCGCTTTGAGTAAAAAATTTTAACAAAAGGTGAATCTACATAATTTTTATGCATTTCTGAAATCTTTAGTACATTATTTATATATTTGCAACCATTGCAGTTAAATATTCAATAAATAATAGGATGATATTAATTTTGTCAGCAAATAATTGAATCAATTGGTTTTTACAATTTTTTTTCTTATTTTTAACTATTTCTATTACAATCAAATTTGTTAATCATATAATCAAATTATCATTGTCTAATAGGATGAATTTTTGAAAAGCACAAGTCAAACTTAAAGATTTTAACAGACCATTATTTTCCTTCATACTATTAATTTCTAATATTAATACAGATCATAAGAATTATTATTGATAATCATACTATTTTCTTATTAGTTAAAAAAGATAGATAAAATAAATATTATTTGCAACAAAATTTAATATGAGGTCCATGTTATATTATTTCTCTTTTAAAATAATAAATATTTCTTAAGAAAAATATAATTACACAAGTAATTGTTATAAAATAATTTTATCCTACCAATAAGCTCCTTTTTATGTCACAAGCTCATTATAAGTCAAACCTAATACTCTCTCTTTGTTGTTGGTATGCTTTCTTGGAACCGTGATCCCAAAGAGGAATTGTGAAGAGGTTGTTGCTGCCTGATTACACCCTTGATGTGGATTCCTTCTTTTCAGGTAAGGGAGAAGTGAGTTTATCTCAATCATGGGCATAATAAGGGTTGTGGATAGAGAGGTTGGCCTTATATCCCATAGGTTTTTCTTTAATCTTAATTATATGTTTAATTTTTTTGGACGGGTTATTTTGAGGGTAATTAGGGGTCACAAATGTGTGTTATAGAAATTGTTGATGACATTAAGAATTATAAGGATAACCTTGTGCATTCTTTATGTTAGAATTTGGTTCACAATTATAGTTGGTTAACTAGAATGATATATGGGTATTTGGATAGTTGGTTCTTGGAAGATTAGGATTCTTGAATAGGAATGAGTTAAGGTTAAATTGATAATGCAACTAGGGATATATAACTGTGTATAATTGAGTTAGAAAAGTAAGATAGTTCGTAGTCATCAAGTGAGGGAGTACAATAAAGCTATTTAAAAGATGGAAATCTAGAAACATCAAAAATTAATGTGTCAGTAAAATTAAATTTTGCATAACAATGCTAAATGAGAAGACCACTCGCTAAGCAAGAAACCTCTAGATAATGAGGAAAAATCTTTATCTCATTGGTTCTAAGCACGAGAGCTCTAGTGTCTCACTAAAGTTTTGGTGCTAAGTGAGTACATTGACTCGATAAGTGTCATAGCCACTAATTTTTTGTGCTAAGTGTGGAAGCCACAAAAAGCAATATTTTCTCTTAATTTGTGCTCTCAATGGTAAGCGACAATGTTGTGTCACTATGCGTTGCTAAGTGACAATGTGGTATTGTTAGGCATTGATATAGTGGTGTTAAGTGAGAGAACACTAGAGAGGAATCCTTATTTGTTTTTACTTAGGCTCTTAGTGAAGGACTACATTGTTAAGAGAAAAGTCCCTATTTTTATTGACATGTTTATGATGCTTTTGTAATGATATGTTAATGTGAAATCTTGTGTATTATGAATGACATGATTAATGTGAACTTGCTATATTTGAGAATGATTACTATGAATTTAAGGGACATGTTATCCTATGAGGATGGCATGATGACATATCCTAGAAAGGTAGGTGCCTTCCTATGAAAGTTGAAACTTTGTAAGACAATGGATCATTTCATGATCAAAGATGTGTTTTTAAAAAATATTATAGAGAATTAGTTTGGTGGAGGTCACGAAGGATTATTAACCCTAAATTTTGAGGGAGATTGAGGAAAGTCCATTGGGTCATGCTAATCCCATGTTGATCGGAGCATACCATTGTGGTTGGTAACATTGACCAGTCATAGAAAGTATATATTACTAATTAAAGTTGTAGTAAATGGTTGGAATATTCCAATACATGATGTTGCATTTACTCGTAGTCCATTTATACTATATTTTAGAAATGGTGCCACATGCATGAGTTAGATGACTAAAGGATATTTCATTACATATGATTAACTTAACTTATTAGATGATTTATGTTTATGAATGTGTGTCAATTCATAATGTTTGTTATACATTGATCATGATGTAAAATGTATCTCACTTCTTGTGTTTGTCTTTGTTTGTATTTCGGCTAATCGCCATTTGCAGGTGAGAGTCGGCTTCAGGATGATGATATATAGGAGGTCGATGTCTCATAAGTAGTTTTTTATGCTTTAACTATGATATATATCAGAGCAAAACTTATGGATTTCTTTATGTCTTATGTTTTTTTTTAAAGATTTTTAAGTTTAAACACCTAGTTTGACTTTCAGTTTTTGTATCAATGTTTGGAGTGCCAAATAATTTGATTTAGCTTTTATGATATTTGGACTTATTTATGAATTGGTAAGGTTACAAGTTATAATTTGTATTCTTGAAAAATGTTTTGAAAGCAAGTTGTTTAAGTTAAGGTTTTCAGAAATGTTTTATGACAATAATTTTGGTTTAGAAGGTGTCACCAAAATAAGAAGTATTATTGGGATAATCATGCAAAGATTGAATTTGGCTAATTAACCACAAATAAATGAAGAAACATTGATTAAAGTAGGCATGGGTCAATTGTGGCAAAACAAAAGATTAGTCATGGTTAAAGAGTGACTGAATAATGAGTTTATTTTTTAATTTTATTTTTTTCCACATTATAGGCATGTGAAAAGAGTTGGTGTCCATGTGCCTCCTTTAAACAAATGCACACATAATGCCTTTGTTTTCTCTCATATCATTTTCTTGTATGAGAAAGGCTAAACTTGAATCCTCCACAAATCTCGTAACCTTTAGATTCTAAGGCAAGGTTAAGATCTTACTCCTATGACTCACTAACTTCAACTCCTTGCAAAATCGTCCTAACCACACATGTGGGGGCAATATTGTCCACATAAGACCTCAGTAGGGACAAGTCCCAATGACCTTTTAGGTAGTGCCCCTTGATAACAATCAATGTAGATACACTACTAGAAAAGTGTTATTTTTTCTACAAGTTTTCCTACAAAAAATATTCACAGGAATTTTTTGCGAATTTTCTTGCAATAATAATTTTACAAAATTTTTTTACGAATTTATTTGTGAAAAATAATTTACAGATATTTCTTACAAATTTTTTTTACGAAAAATAATTTACAAGAAATTTTTGCATATTTTGCTACAATTTTAATGATCATAGAAATTTTTTTCCATGGTAAAAATTTGCAGAAAACATTGTAAGAATTTTATTTTTTTTCTTGCAGATTTTCTTGCAAAAATAAATTCGCAAGTAATGTTTACTAAATGGTAGAAAAATTTTGTAAGTAACTTTTCCTGCGGATTTTCCTGCCAATTTTAATCCGCAAGAAAAATAAAAATAAAATATTTAAATTTATAAGTTTAATATTTTAAAAAAGCTTCAAGTCTCACATGGATTGAAAATAAAACAATTAAAGAGTATATAAGTTAGGGCAACACTTACCTTAAAAGTTGATTGTATGGTTGAGTGTTAGGCTTATAATCTACAATCTTAGAATTTAAAAGATTATGTATCACATGTTGGAGGCATGGAAACAAATGCTTCGGATGAATCCATTATGAACATTTGAAAGTTGAAGAATTATTGATAGAATTTATAGTAATTTCTTTAATTTTTTTCGTAAAAAATATTCCTGCAGAATTTCTTGCGAAAAAATTCGCAGGAAACTTTTTTTGTGAATTTTCCTGCCAATTTTTTTTTCAGGAAACTTTCCTGCAAATTTTTGTCGCAAGAAATTTCGCAGGAAATTTCTTGCGAATTTTAAAATTCGCAAAAATATATTATCTATGAAAGTATTATATGCAGATAAAATTTTATAGAAAAATTTGTAGGAACGTTTCCTGCGAATTTTTCATAAAAATTCGTAGAAAAAATTACATGTAATAAGAGAAATTCTAGTAGTGATATCTCAGCCAATATAGGATCAAGAGCAACACCTAACTCATATGCTACATTAGCAAGTAATGTTGCCTTTTCCCAACTCCCTTATGGTGTGTTTGGATGAGAAATTTATATAGGGTAATTCATTTATTTGAAGAATTTCAAATTTCTTGAGGTGAAATGCTTTGTTTGGATGAGGAATTTACAAAGAATTTGAAATTCAAGCATTTGTGAAATTCCTTAAAATAATATAATTTCAAATTCTCCCAAAAATGGGAGAACTTGAAATTCTTCATATTTGTTTTTCTTATTTCACCTATATATTTTATCTTATCTCTTCATTCTTTTAATTATTGGATATTTAAAAATATTTTTAAAATTATTAAATATTATCTTATATTAATTTTTAAAATTATTAAATATTTAAAAATGGATTAATATTTATTTTTATAAAGTTTAATTTAAAAATCTCAACATATAAATATATTTTTAAAATCAATTTTACTATGATGGAATCAAATTATCATATTCAACCTAACAATTTAAAATTTAAGAAATTTGAATTGACTCATCCAAACAAAATATTTTAAGAATGATAGAAATTGAAATCAAAGTAATTCAAATACCAAGAATTTAAAATTCCTT